TATTTGTTGTTTACATTTCATTACCTCATCATCACGAATTACAAGTGTATTTTCCAATCATCTCTGCATTATTCCGTGGTTAAGACTCAGTATTATGACACAATTTAAAAGGGTAAATTACTTCTTCCTTATTCTCTAGATTTTTTAGCAAAGTATAGTGCGGCATCGAGTCACGTTTGATTATGATCACCACTACAAGACGAGCGCGTACCAGAAAATCAGAAGGCGAAAGGAGATTATAACCAGATTTATTCACTGGCGATCTCGTGGTATCGAAAGTATACCAAGATCGTGTCAAAGGAAATACGAGTGGAATCAGTGGGCGAACGTGCGAGCGTACAAGGTCATGGTCAATGGAATAATAATGGAGGGGTAATGGATGTCTTTAGCACAGTTAAACAAACAAGCACAGTAAAACAATCACTGGTACAATTGGTTATAATAATGATTGTTTCCATTAAACCGATCGCTTTCTATTGATAAAAGTAGGTCACTACGGAAGTTAGAAGTATCATGAAATATTATGCAATTTGGTCTTATGCTGCGAGCTGTTAATCTACACCAAAGAAAAGTCCAAATCAAATCAAATATGACGAACCACAGATACAGCTTCTAGAGCACCATAAGTTTATTACCATACATATATCCCGTCGATTCATCCTGCTTTACAAGCCATTTTCACACGACTTTTCTTAAGAATTTTCGATTCGATGAACGTTTAGATTATGGTTCATTTGACTTAAGGGTGCCCTTCACTTTACTCTAAACTGTTCTAAATGTTGTTTATATACAGAGCTACAAAATTCTAACCACACACGCAGAGATTTTAACTGAGTCATGTGGATACTCTGCATCGGTACAATCAGCACTGTTGAGCAGCACGTTTTCAATTTTGACTTTTTACGCAGTTTCTGTATGGTCCTATTTCACACATGAAAGTTAAAAATTCCAGCGTCTGTTATTCACACAGTGATTCAACTAAATTTTACCAATAAAATCAAGAATAAGGTTGTGCTTTCAATTCTCACTGAGAGAGCTTGGAATGAGATGACGTCAAAAAGAGATTTAGGGACAATTCACGTGTGGCAGATCTCGACTGATACTGCATCAAACTGCTAACTTCCATGAGGCTAGTAAAATAGGCTTTAAATAAATAATCTACTTCACTGTGTGTGCTTGGCGAAGTTGACTATCCACAGTCTGAGATCTCTATATGTTAGGGTATAAGTATGCCCTGGACTAAGTAAATGGGTCAGTTTTCCCAGCATCCGACTGTATGCTGTATCTCAGCAGGCTTGCTACGATATAAAACTAACATAATAAATTTTTACCCGATTTACACTATGGACGTAACAGATACATTGGGTTAGCATGCCCCCAATTGTATGCATGATGTGTTTCCATGGATAAAATCATACTTAAGTTGTTCTCAGACCATAGTCCAACTTCCATGGTGTTCTGAATAAATGATATAGCAGGTATAGCAAGCTACCATTCCGTTATTTGAGTTTCTCATGTTTCCACTAAGCCCATCAAATTAGGATTATTCCCATTACTTAATCTGAGCGATTCTTCCATTTTATTGAGTAGAAGCTTGACATCAGGCTGAAGGTACCGAGTTTTAAACCTTAGTATTACTTGCCACGTGGGTGCTATGCTACAGAGCTTGATCAAGTAAGAAATATTTGTAGATTCAAGCAAATAAGAAGATTTCTAATCCATAAAGCAATAGTTTTGCAATTTGTTCGTGCATTCCACTACTTGAAGTTATTCTTAAAGAAATAAATTTTATTTTGCGGTGCTCGTTTCAAAAAGGGCAGTGATTTTTGTACTAGTTCTGATTATACTTGCTTTGGGTACTTATTGCACTGAAAAGCGTTCTTGGTCTACTTTAACTAAGAGTACTTTGGTTAAAGTTTGACATTTTTTGCTAAATTTTGTCCTGAGTACCTGTTTTTAGTCCTTGACTAACACTTGTGCTCACATTGTTATCGTTTTTTGTTTTAAAACCTCTTAAATCGAATTACAATGGTTGGTAAGACTCACAAATGTGGGCAACCAAATTAATTGTTCTCCGTTGAGGAGGGGATGCAGTGTGACGATTGTAAAAAGTGGTACCACAAAATGTGTACACGACTAAGTCCGACGGCTTACAAAAGATGCTCGAAGCCTAACTCGCATTGGCTTTGTATGTTCTGCTGTACGGATAAAAAGGTACTAATACAGGAGGCTATGGGCCTATTGGCTTTGGCCTGCAAGAAAAACGACGGCGGAAGCACTGATAACAGGAGCACTGACGATGAAGAATGTGGCAGTGTAGTAAGTGCTGCTACTGGACCCGTTAAACACTTGACCGCGGTTGACGGGAACGTGAAATCTCTGTTGACATTAACGAGGAATGAAGTGTCGCTTGATATTGACATCGGCAGTCATACACCTCTAGTCGAAATAGAAGATCCGGATAAAACTGTCACCGTTCCACATAGTCCAGGTGTGGCTGTTCTGAGTGGCGACAGATGGACTTCGGTAAGAAGGAAAAAAACAAAAAGAAAAAGGCTGTAGGCAAAACGCAGCTGGTCAGCAAGACATTGGAAGGGATGTTATCAGAAGAAAAATCCTCACCGCGTGATAAGACAGATCTCTCTGATAGATCAGTCCTTTTTCATAAGATAAGAGAATCTTCAGATACTGAACCAAAGGCAAGATTTGAACATGATCTCAATCATATTAAGATATCATTAAGTAAACTACTCCCAGATACAGTTTCAGGAGTTAGTATTTGTAAGCTTTATAGAATCGGAAAAAAGGTGGATTCCGAAAGTCCTAAGAAAAACCGCCTCCTAAAGGTTACATTCAATACGGTGGAAGAAAGGAACCTGATTCTAAGTAATTCACGTAAACTGATTGGATCCGAAATATATGTCCGTGAGGATCTCAGCCTAGTTGATCATATTAAGAGAAGAGATGCAGAAGCGGAAATAAACGAGCGTCGCCGAAAGGGTGAAAGAAACCTCGTTCTTAAGGGTTTTCAGATTGTAAAAGTTCGGAGCAAAACGATCCCCAAGCCACTCTGGGTGGCAAGGGAAAGCTCTCCACAGACTTAAAAGTGTGCTACACAAATGCTCGCAGCCTACTAAATAAAATGGCGGAGCTGAAGTCAGTGGTGGATAAGGAAAAACCATATGTTATCGCTGTCTCGGAAACTTGGTTAACGTCAGAAGTATTAGATAGTGAAATCCAGTTGACTGGTTTCATAACCAGTAGGGCTGATAGATTAAACCGGAGGGGAGGCGGGGTTATTGTGTACACGAAAAGTACCCTAACCATAAGATTAGCTGAGACAGTAGCACATGTTTCAGGGACATGTGAACTAGTGAGATGTAAGTTGAAATGCCGAAGGCAAGATATTGAAGTAGTTGTAGTTTATCGCAGTCCAGAAAGTGTAGCAGATGATTTTCTCCTAAGTAAACTTAAGTCCTGGTGTAACAACGGTAAAAGCCTTGTAGTAGGCGACTTTAATGCACCATATATAAACTGGGTAAACTTAGAAGTATTCAAAATGTCACTTGACCAAGGTGTGTTACCTATGGACTGGAAGGACGCAATCGTCACTCCCATACATAAAACAGGTCCACGACAAGTTCCATCGAATTACAGACCCGTAAGCCTCACCAGTGTGGTAATTAAAATACTGGAAAGAATAATCAAACGGACCATAACGGCATTTATGGAAACAAATAACTTGCTGAACATGGCACAACATGGTTTTAGAAAGGGTCTATCCTGTACAACGAACCTCCTTATAGCTAGGGAGCTCTGGATTAATGCGCTAGACAACGGAAACTCAGTGGATGTTGTCTACATAGACTTCAGTAAGGCTTTTGACAAGGTGCCCACTAATAGACTGCTATTGAAGTTGGCAAACCTTGGTATTGCCGGACCTCTTTTAAAATGGATTAAGGATTTCCTAGTAGGTCGTAGGAAAAAAATAAGAATAAATTCTAAGTGCTCCATCTGGAGACCAGTACTTAGTGGGCTACCTCAAGGTTCAGTCCTAGGTCCTTTACTTTTTATATTGTACGTTAATGATCTTACAAGAATAGTACAGTCTCCAATGTTATTATACGCTGACAATGTAAAAATTTGGCGAGTAATAACTGGAGACAAAGACGCATTTACTCTTCAGGCGGACTTAAATAATATGATAAACTGATCTAAAGAGTGGCTGATGCCTGTCAACTCGGAAAAGTGTGTCTACATGCACTTAGGGGATTCAAAGGTTAATACATACAACATAGGGGATGTGTCATTACCCGTAGTCCGGTCTCATAAGGATCTAGGGGTGACAGTGAGCAATGATCTTGAGACGACGGCCCATTGCCGGGAGGTCGCAGTTAAGGGGTTTTGAACCCTCTGGGCTTTAAAAAGGACATTCACTAAGTTTGATACTACCATGTTCACCACATTATACACATCCTTAGTGAGAACTAAGTTAGAGAACTGTGTTCAGGCTGCAAGCCCCTGTTTAAAAGGTGACTCAGACATACTAGAAAAAGTGCAGAGGGCAGCTACGCGTGCAATTCCGGAACTTCGGAGTTTATCATATAAAGAGCGGCTTGAAAAACTGAACCTCTTTACTCTGTTCTATCGCAGACTAAGGGAAGATCTAATATTGATGTACAGAATATTGAGACATGATTTCGGACCTAACTTATTCTCTCTTTTTCTTCCCACTAGATCGGGACACCTCAGAGGACATAGCAGGCGAGTAGAAAAGCCAAGAACGAACAAAATGCCCGTGGCATACAGGTTTTCATACCGAGTCATCAATACTTGGAACCTGCTGCCTGAAGCAGTGGTGTCCGCACCTTCAATTGACTCTTTCAAGAGAAGACTGGACACTCACAGAAGCATAATAAAAAGGAATAACATAGGCTGTGGGCCTTCTGTCCTTACTACACAAATCTGAATCTGAATCTTTTGTTTGAATCACCTAAGTACTATTGGGAAAGCAGCGGGTTCTGTTACTATAAGCGTGATATTCAACGATGGGTCGTATGCACAGTGGTGGGAAGGGGATTTCAAGAAGTGCTTTGCCTTATAGGCGATCTGTCCCAACATGGCAGAAAATGACCGCAGATGAAGTGAAGGAGCAGATATACAAGTTAGCAAAAAAGGGATTATCACCATCTCAAATCGGTTAGTCACTCATAGTGTAATATAACGTTTTTAGGTGTTATTCTGCGTGACAGCTTTGGTGTCGCTCAGGTCAGGTGGCTAGCTGGAAACAAAATACTTCGCATTCTGAAGTCCAAGGGTTTGGCACCAGATATTCCAGAAGATTTGTACCAATTAGTCAAAAAGGCAGTTGCTATTCGTAAACACTTGGGCAGGAATGCTAAGGATAAAGACAGCAAATTTAGACTTATTCTGGTTGAAAGTCGTATCCAACGTTTGGCACGCTACTACAAAAGAAAAAGAGTTCTACCACCTAACTGGAAGTATGATAGCTCCACAGCGTCAACGCTGATTGCTTGATTCATTATATGACAGTGTAAAGTATGTGGTTGAATAAATTTGCCTTGGCGACATGTTTGCCATAATTTTACAAAAGCAAGGTGGTTGGTTCGGGTTTGGATTGACCCACTTGTCATTTTCAAACTACCATATAATTCAAGTAAATATCTCACTTAATATTTGATGGGTCCAGTATATTCTCTTGTATTCATGTTGCATTTTAGTCTTAAGGTTTGCAATGGTCGTTGTACTCCATGATTTTTCCACTTTAAACATATCAGTTATGGTTCTAAGTCGGCTTATTCGCCATGGGTCGCTGCTTCGACTGATTCTAAGTAAGATTGAAGTGGAACACTACTTAATTTCAGTTCTCCCAATAAGATACGTTTTATCCTGTCAGCGACATAGAAATTAAAGGTATCACGTTCAAATTATCTCTACTTAAAATAGGTATCTAAACGTAAAGTAGTCTAAATGCAGTCATCATTGCTCACAACCTCCACCTTTGTATTCTATGGGTCAGGAAAGTCGTCTTTGTGGTTCGAGTGTTCGTGTAAGATATTCTGTCTTAAATGGTGAGAACGTACGCAGTTGAAGTTAATTTACTTTGGACACAAGATTGATAACAAGTGGTTGTTGTGTTGAACTGTAAATGGATCTAAGGTGAATAAAGTTTCTCATACATTCAGCTGATATGGTCTTATGTATACATATATCATCGATACTAAACTTGCTTAATTGAAAGTCAGAAATACTTGACATGTTGGTTGATAGTTGAATCTCGAAATGACATGTGTTTGGAAAAGGTATATAAGGTTTTAGACATAATCTATGTAGCTACTTACTTGTCTTGCTTCACATGTTTGCTGGTTTTATATTTTCCAAAAAGATCACACTTATCATATCTAAACCCTTTGAATGAGCACTAGATGTGGTTTAGTATTCTAGCTTTGCAACACTAGTGTTAACGTCGAAAATATCTGCCTGTTTGTATCTAACGTATCAACTAACATTTCCACTAAAATAATCAGATAGTTCAAAATGCAACCGAAAAGTTATTGTCATGCCCACAAGTATAAGCTGTGTTGTAAGTTTCATTCTTATTTCAGCTGAACGTTGGTTTTACCGGCATTTTCAGGAACTTACATAATCCACTGACTCTGAATACCTAACTACGTGAGATGTAATAAAGTAATTTATATGCGGTTTAATTATTTTCCTAATCATTAAAGTAAACATTTTCATTTCGGATCATAATCATAGTAGCCAAATGCTGTATGTGCTTTAACGAGGTGTATGCCAAGTTATAAAAGCTTGTCACAGCATTTAGTTATCCCGTGTTATAATGAATCTAACGATATTTTGTAATGAGCTATTTCTGGACGGATGCACCTGTGTTGATTTTACGTGTGATTAGGTTCGATGTATATTTGTATGACATTTGTAAATACTACGATTCACTGGTTGTCTTATGCGTACAGTGTAAGCTAGTTAAGTCTCATCTTTAACATCTTGGTACTAGTACATAATACAGATTACAGATGAATAAAGCTCGTTTCTCATAAATTTTCGGTTGAAAAATATTCAGCACGACTATTTGCACGATATCTGTAAGGATTTATGGGAAGTCGGTCGTTGGATTCTAAAAACTCATAAGACCGACCCAAAATGATTAATTATGTCCATTTTCGAGTTATAATAACAGTCGACAATTAGTATATAGTCGTTTGAGGTCCATGTCTAGCGACAAACGATGTATAAAAACCATTATTACGATTTAACTATCTTGCATTCACTGTCAAGCATCACATTATAGAGACTACTATGCTATTTTACTTGGGTCGTACGATGATTTACAGCTTGGTTGTACTGAAAAGCTCGAATCCATACACAACCGTTAAGTAAGATTAGTATTACTTACATACTTCCGTCTACAAATAGGAAGTCATAGTTTTAGGCAGCTCATTAGTTATGAATCCTCGCACACAACGGTATCATGGCAATTCAATGTAATTCTATGTTGCTGAACTAAATGGTTTTCTTCAAGAAAAGTGCAAGTTAGTAGTGGTTTGTAAGTCTTAGTGGTCACAGATTGTAATGACTAGTTTGCACTGGGCTATGATAAACGGTATTTCCCATTGTAACTACCCGGTTTAAATTAACAGGCCGAAAAAGTCAGCAGATTATCCGCTGAAAGGAAGACTAGTGAGTTTATATGTTTTTAATCGGCACAACATTCATTTCGATATATTTTCCATATTAGACACTTAGCTGTATTAGTCCAAGTATGTACACTAAAATTGTCTAGGAAATTAGGCTATGGTTATCTAAAAGTCGTGTTCGGCTCTCGAACGGTGGTTCCATTGTTAAAGCAGTAAGACAATACATTTTATTACCTAGTACAAAGTTTCTAAACTTCAAAAACAGTTCATAGTCGTCTGGTGAAGGCTAAAAGCAAGCGTTATTTTTCCGGCGTAATCGATTGGCGAAAATGATTTAGATCGTGGGGTTTGGGTATTGCATTAGGTTGAATAGAACTTGACTATTCTAAGTAAGATTGATTTCAGTGACCTGTCATTTCGTTGAAATCAAATTTATATCTTTCACATGTAATTGAGCACTTATAGGGTGCCACGGAAACCATTAATTTCCCCATTCTTCGGTTCTTTAATGAAAGTGTATTTTTGAAAGGATTTCGGGGCTACATAGTTTTGTGAAATATTTTTGGTCCTGAGGTCCATTAATTTGTGCGTGTACAACATGAGTATATGAGAAGCAATAGTGGTAGAGATTATGAATTGATCCAATATCACAATCGTTCAGCATAACACTTGAGTGTTTTATGATTCCAGTTATGCATTTACTCAGCATAAAATTCTAGTTTTACATATCCAAATACTATTTGTTTCGAAATGGTATTCATCATTACTATTTGAACAGAATCCCGTAAGAGTTCTATTTTTAAATAAATTTCTGGAACCATGAGAGCCTTATAAAATGCCAAACAAACTGTCAGCTATAAGTTTTCTAGTTCGATGCGTAGTTCAGATCACTGGTTATATTGTATATTACTAGTCTTCTTAGTTTGAAAGTGGCTACTCGTCATTCTCTGCAACATAAAATATATTAAAAGAACAATTAGTCGTCTAATGAGACCAAGCGACATATTGAGGTGCGCAAACCAGTTCATCTAAATAAGGCAAGCTAACCAAATTTAGCATTCTTTTGTCGACTTCCCATTAATCGCGTAACACTTGCAAATAAAGAAATTTATTCAGCCCTTAATATTCGTGTCGATTAATATTGGCCCAGAAAAGTTGTATTACTGGGAATTTTTAGTTTCCCAAATGGTTTCAGCAGACAATATCGGTAAAAATTAGTATCTCGACCATAATTGCTACCTTAACGTAGTGGTCGGGTTTGCTTATCATGATGACTCAGCTGGGCTAGGTTGGTTGGAGAACGGCAAAACTTCAAGCCAATGCTTGTGGTTCAGGAGTACACTACTGGCTGTAGAGGGGTGTGACGACAGTTGTTTGTTTCCCTCGTACAACCAGCGTATGCAGCGATGTTGCCTTTTAAAAGGAAAAGGAGTTGGAAAAGGTCGACCCTAAGTGTCACATTTCACCGAACACCACAGATTCCCGTCTCCGGTGGTAGTAACTTTTAAAGCGAGTGGCTAACACATCAAAAACTCCGTAATTATATTTTTTTTCTGGGTAAAATAGTACGGTTTACAAGGACATGAATCTAATCGCTTTCAACCTCAAAGTAGTTGCTGGTTTTTGTATATTTCGCACTTCTACTACATTATTAAAAAAAACCCTGCCATTTACAACTGGTGTTCATGTTTTTAAAAAGTGAAATGATATCCATTAATAATTATCAAACCAGGCGAATAATACCAAGCATCAGTAGATTTAATTACGCTTGCAGGGACTTGAATATGTTACACGATCTTGGTCATACAGAATTCAGCTAGATTATGCCTTACTAACATTGAAGAACCACTAATTTTATTTGCTAAAATATTATAATGTTTAATAATCAGAGAAAATCGAAGCAGTATCTTGTCATGAATTGTTCACGAACGTCACACGAATTTATGTAATAATCGGCAAGTGGAAAGTGCTAAAGTGAAGATAACTGTCCACTTAAAAGCTATTAAGAACAAGATAATTTCAAGTCGGCATACCGATAGCCTTCCAAATATATCTACGAACCACTTCATTTCTGACTTGACTGGGTTGGCGTACTTCGATTTTCAAATTGTTGCTGGTAAAGGTGTTGTTAAAGTCCGAACGCCTGTGGCATATTAATATGTAACTGAATTGTGGGTAAATTGATATCGGAGTAGTCTAAGACGTGCTTCTCAGATATTTCTGTAAAGGAAGCGTGTGCCTCCGTCGTTTCTAGACTTTTGGTCAACTTATCCATACACTCTGAACGTCCCTTTGTTACTTTAAGTATGTATTCTCTAAATCGTTCGCTTTTATCTTCTGTTAATTCATATAACAGATATGCTGTAGATGAAATATTACGTTCGATTTCTGGTAATATCGACTTGATTTCATCGGTATAAATTAACGTAGGACGTTTAAAGAACGATGGTTCAAGTGGATATGACTTCGACTAAGTAGTTCTCAGCGTGGTCTTGGATATCCTCATTTGTTCATACAGCTTTTTCAAGGTGTGATTCTAGCATTCGCCAAACCACATTTGATAAAGATCCACGACCCATAAAGGCTTTTAAGCATTATTTCTACTGCTTTCTAATTATTTACACAACTTTTAATTAGCCATTATTGCAACTTTGAATTATCCTGTTTTTTAATAGCCTTTAAGTGGATAATTATCTTCGCCTTAGCACTTTCCACTTGCCGATTATTACATAACTTTCTGTCTATATGTGACGTTCGTGAACAGTTCATGATAAGATACTATTTCGAGATTCTCTGACTACTGAACACCATGCTATTTTATTCTAGACTATTTAGGTAGTTAAAATAAATGTGAATGCTGTTGTATTGCTTGAGTAAGATCGTCGAAATTAAGTTTCTTAGTGCTGAGTAACCTTCATACTTTAACCATTTTATGGTTCTGATTTTTCAAGTGAAATGAGCTACAGAACATGATTTATACATCGTAACGATAAACGTATCTTTATATGAACAGCGTATTTACTTCGTCTATCTTTTGAATGATGCGATTGCTTCCATATTTGTCTGGTATTTCATTTCACGATTTTAGTTTCCACTTATTTCGAGCTCATCATTTCAGTTGAAAATTTGAAGTTATAAAATCGCAGTGCCATAATTAAACCTAGCACGTTTTCCATTTCGTGTATTAATGGTCACAGTCTCCTTATACTTGGGTGTTGTAATTCGCTCATAAGAGGTGGTGAATTTTCAGTTATAAATTGTGTATTCATCAGCATTTATTGTAAACAATCTGTCCTGGGTCTATAAAACTTAATTCTTCAAGAACAGCTTTCTTTATTAACCACTGAATGCGGTTCTAATGA